ACAACGCAACTTTACAAGCAGGCTAGGCGGACTAGGTCTACTGGATCTCTGATGAATCATTTGCCAGCAGGTAAGTGTTTTTTTATACAGATTCTTATGATCTTATCTAAATTATTATTATTAGATCTAACTTAGTTATATCATCTACTATAGCCCAAGCGTCCTAGGCCTACGTGTGAGTGCAAATGTATGCAAATATGGCATGCTGCTAGTGAGAGAACCTGTTGTTAAAATATTTGAATCCCCCCACTGTAAGTGGGGTATAAAAGACTGGAGCATGTGAGACCAATGGATAGATAGGCAAAGCCAATGTTGAGGAATAGCTGAAGTGGCAATGGAGGGTAAGTATGTTTTGGAAATTTTCTTTCATTATTTATTTTGATTATTAAAGGACACTACTTTAAAGGAGAACAAAAGTTACTGTTATACTATACTTGACAAATAAATTAAAGACCATGTATCAAATAAATATAATTTAAGTGGTTTGAAAAATGTGAAATGGTCTGACTTGCATTTTTTTTTCTTCATGAAATTAACATATGTTGATATCTTTAGTTTCTTTTCAATTTATGTAACATCCGCTAACGATAACCTCCATTATAAAGTAGATTTTACAATGAGCTATAGGATTGGCCCTAAAACTGCTTGCGGGCCCCTAAAAATGCATATGTAAGGGATCCGGCTGGCTTCCTATAAGAAAAGTTAACAGTGATCCATGGAAAGCATAGTTTGTTTTCATTGAATGGTTTCACATTCAGTAAAAATAAAATCCTTATCTACCATGTTTTAAAACTTGAAGCTTTTATGGAATGCAAAACCGTTTTGTAACAAGAAATTTAACATTAATTGTTAATTGGTAAAATTTAAAGCTGACTTTTTGATTCTAATTGGATTTTCAAAATCCTCAACTGCAAATAATAAAATAGCCCTCTTATAAAATTTTAGCTACTATTTAAATGAAAAACAATGCTACAATAAATAATAATCAAATGTTAAATTTCTTGTTACAAAACGGTTTTGCATTCCATAAAAGCTTCAAGTTTTAAAACATGGTAGATAAGAATGCAAAGAGGTTTCTTGTTAAAAAGGGCTAGTTTTGAATTCAGTAAACCATATGCTGTACCATATCTAAGACCCCATTACTAAAATTGCTTTTAGTTAAAAAGAAATATTTTGTGGGCAACCTATCAAACCCCATAAACATTTTGAGTATATGAATAAAAACACATCTACTTCTTTTATTACACTTTAGTAAAACAAGGACATTTATTCTTGAGTTTCACTTTTGTTTTACTTGGAAGTAACCGTGAAGTTAGTATTTAATGTAATATTACCATTGCATAATTACTGATACAGAGTTATGCATTAAATAACAGCCAAAGTATTAGACAACAAAATAATTCTTTATGCTACTGTATAATATTTACCAGCAAAGTCAATTCCTTTGTCAACATGTTTTACATAATAGTGGGCTTTTAATATTTTTGTGTCGTGATAGATCTCGGTCTTGGCACAGAATGGACAATGCATATGTGAAGAATTATCTATGCATACAGGATCTCTGCATTTAGCTGGTGTGAAGTTTGCCTCCATTCCTCTCACTCGAACACTTGGATGGGACTGTAATAGGAATGATAGGAATGCTTACATACTGTATATCAATGCCATAAAAAGTACAAAGCTTCAAAATATCTTTTTCTGTAATATGAATCAAAAGTCATGTCGAATAATCAGTAAATGTTTAAAACATTTTATTTATAAGCTACTTTAGGTTACATGTACTTTATATATCTGTGTGTAAATATGTATTTGGTATCACTCACTCAAACCTACCTCAAACTATTCAGAACAACCTGTCTCGCATACTTTTATACAATATGCCATTCTCTAAAAAAATTGTTAATTTAAAAATATACATTTTAGCACTCTAAACACTTCAAAGAAAACTTACCTACTATAATTACTTTAGAACCTTTCACTATAATTTACTTTTATTCTTCTACATTTTTATATTCGGTATTTTGCCATTATAATATGCTACAAACTATACACATGTGTCTTTAAAATATTATTATCACTTGAGCAGCAAGTCATACTGCATGTCTGGACCAATCAAAGTTATGATTGTATACACAAAGTGTGGGTTCCCATAAGGACTATTTTTAGTACTAAAATACAGTGAAGAATAAAGTACTGAGAAAGGAAACAATATGTGGTGCTTTTAGTAGTCTCAGAAGCACCTATCTCCCAGTAAGTCAACATGAAGATTTGTACAATGTGCTTGACGACACGATGATGCATATTATCAATTTTTGCCAAACATTGGTCATTAACATACAAATGGACTCCACTTTAACATTAAACACAACATATGCATGTAACACCATAATGTTCATAATGGGACAAAAGAAATACCATACAAAAACAAATGTGTTGTACATGCTTATATTGTAAGAACAATAAATATGTCATCACAAGTACTGAAAGCTTGGCAGCTTTGATATCGAACATTCATATATACTGTGACATAATATATACTCTGATATCCATAATATTGCAACATCTAATATTTATATTCTTTGTTTTTTACAATTTACAAGCAGACATGTCTGAATATGGAAAATGCAACATTAGTTCATCAACACCCACAGGGTTTCTCGACAGCGTCAATACCACATCACTGAAGCAGCAGGGTGAAGTAGTAGTTTTCATGACACTGAAGACCAAGGTTCTAGAGACAGCATAACATGAAAATTATTGATTTGAACACTTCACATTTCCATGTACTCTTTCACATAACATCCATGCTTTATGCTCACTCAAGTTTTGCTCTTTATGGGTTAAGGAATAGCATTTTGATTTAATGTATCTATTTGTTTTTCACTTTTTCCCATAATAACATTTTGATAATCCAACCATTCTAAGAACTACTATCATGTTGTATAGAATATTTCAGAAGTAAAAAGTGAGAGAATGGATAATATATATACATGGAATGTTCTTGAACATTCTAAATAATGGGGAATATTCCAGAATATGGTACAATATTTCAGAATGTATTGTAATATTCCATAATAATATGCTAGACAATTCCAAAATAACCTAAAACCTTACTTTAAAGAGTATTCTGGAACATTCTAGAATGTTTAGAATATGCAGATATAACATGAGCCACAAGGTAAACTCTCAACTACCTTGAGCAACCCCTAAATGTTATTCAATATGGATAAAATTGGGTGTGAATTATTTATTTATATATTGGAACAAAATGAGGGGATGAGAGTGTTGTAAATCAAAACATCAAAATAGGGATCACCCTACTGTATTAATTTAAAATAATATAAAACCATGATGAGTACACTGGAATGGGCAGCAACTGCCTGTTGTAGAAAAAAAGTGTCAAGAACGATGTTTTAATGAGAGTTTGGTTTGTTGGGAATTTCATGCAAAGCTACACGAGGGCTATCTGTGCTAGCGTGAAAGACTAGAGGGATAGCAGTCATCATCACCCACTGCAAACTATTGGGCTGCTAGTGGGATTGACCATCACATTATAACACCCCCAAGGCTGAAAGGGCGAGCATGTTTGCTGGGACGGGGATTCCAACCCACGACCCTCAGATTGCGAATCAAGTGTCCTAAATTGGCCTACAAACGTGTAAAATTGTTCACATGCCAGCATGTAGGATCTTATCCAAAGGTTGGCAAAAATGGAATGTGAAAGAGCCTGCGAGCACTGATATTAAGGGAAGAATACCAAGCAGAGGAGTTGGAAGACTCATTCTGTAAGGGTAGAAGATCAAGAAGGGTCTCAAAGTAGAAATAAATGATGATGGGGGCCCTGAAAGGGAACCTACATGCCAAGTAACATTGAATAGTCAGAAATTAAATGTGAGAATGGTGAGAAATCAAAGGGAGCAAGACAGGAGCAGAAACAGCTTTAGGAAGAAAGGCTCAGTCAGGGTAGAGAAGTAAGTAAATGAGTGCAAAAAGAATCAATGGCATATACAGTACTATATATTCAGCTTGTTTTGTTACTTATCAATCACTTGAAAAGCTTCAATTATAGGTAAAGTCACATTACACTCACTGTAGATTAAATATTATTAAACTGTAGATAAATGTAACACTAAATCCTTTATTAACCAATATTTAAACAATTATCAACTGTAACTGTTCTAAACTAACGAGTCATCAAGTGCATACAAAGGGCCTTTACTATTACGCCAAATAATTAAGTGGGCTTTCAGGTGCAAAAGACTGAGAAACCCTAGTCTAGATAACCCTTTTATCCTCAAAATATTCTTAGTAGCTCTCCTCTAAATACTTTTTTCTTGTTGGTTAGGGTACCAAAATTGTACAAAGTCATGCCTAACTAGTGATTTGTAAACAGATAATTACCTCCTTTGCTTTGTTATAAATATGGTTATAAATACATGCAAAAATTACAGTAGCTTTACTATTACTAGCTATTAGCAACAGAGCACTACCTCAATAGTTTGAATGACTTTTCCACCACATTACCAATATTATTTGCTTTAGTCATGCTATTATACATTATGACATTAAACTACAGTAGGGAACCTTTTGATCCATGTAGGCTGACCTACCTACTAAATTAAACTAAACCCTTACAAAAAACCTGAAAGCCAGCCCTTGTCATTCAAATATTTTTCAAGCTTTCTCTTAAACTCCCTTAAATTAACTGCATCCACCACATTTGGAGGCAACATGTTCCAAAGACCAACCATCCTCTTTGAAAACTAAAGCTGTCTTAGCTGAAGATGACTCCTACCCTGCTAAAATTTATACTTATGTCCCCAATCTTACCATTAAATATGAAAAAAAGGATGATGCATCAACACTACCAATTCCCTTAACAATCTTAAACACCTCAATAAGATCCCCTCTAACTCTTCTTTTTTAAAAGAAAAAGTTCAAGAGATCTTAACCTATCCTTGCATACTCTTCAACCCCAGGTATTATCCCAGTAGCCCTCCTATGTACCCTTTCTAACAATTCACTGAACACAATATTCCAAAATATGGCCTAACCAATGACCTATTGTGACATTATAACATATTTAGTCTTGTATTTAATATTTCTGTAGATAAAAACCTAAAATTCTATTTGTTCTGCTGCTAGCAACAGCACACTGCATGGATGGCTCAAGTGAATGATCAATCAGAATACAAAGATCTCTTTCTTCTGCAACACTGTTAAGGTTATTCCCATCAAAATTACACTCATAATTCAAATTGTGATATCCACATACATTATATTATAATAAATGCATTTATTATAATAAAAAGCCATCTGCCACTTATTGGCCCAACTCACTAAATAATCCAAATCTTTTTGCAAGGGTAGCATCCTCATCACAACCAGAAACACCCAAAACTTTAAAGTAATCAGCAAATTAAAATAATCTACTGACCATATTTCATCATGTCACTAATATAAATCAGAAGTTATAATTTTTCTATACTGAAAATGTATTTCCGATAGGTACTTACATCCTCTCACATAAATAGCTATTCTCGTTCAGTGCTGCCCTCTATATACAAGTCTCAAGTTCCCACATATCCCACAATCAACATGGTTCAAATGCATCTAACATGCAAATCATCATGTGACAAACCTCCACCAACAGAAGCGTGACCCATCCTCCTGAAGCATGTGACTTCCTCTATTCGATTCTACCGAAATATCACTTCGAGATTTGGCAGAAAAAGGAAACACCAGTTTCCAGTGGAGAGGAAAGTTGGGAAGAGGTAAGTACCTATCAGAAATACATTTTCAGTACAGGAAAATTATAATTTCTGATAAGGTACATTACCACTTCTCACATAAGTAGCTAGAATCCTACATTGAATAGGTGGAGGGACTAGTGCAAGGGAAAGAAATAAGCATCCTTTGAAAGCATCTGAAGAACACTCTAAAAGGAGGATCATCACAGTAGAGGATTATAGGTGGGAGACTGCAACACCTGTGGAAGGAGGTGATACAAACATGGGCAGAAAAGGGAGGAGCACATCCAAAAGGGAGAGAACAATGGTTCGATCGGGATCCGAACCACCCAATATCTGAATATCAATCCCCCTAGATGACAGTAATATGGGTGAGAGTAAAAAAGATGTGGCTCAAGGTGTAGAGTGGCTAGGGCATGATGGACTGTACACAGCAAGTCAGCTGCCTCCAAAACCCAGCCACTGGAAACCGACATCCATGTGGGGGTAGGATGAGGTAGGAAAGAGGATCATACCACCAACAAGTCAACTACAATCCAAATCCCACCCACCGGGAACCAACATCCACATGGGGATAGGAAAGGAGATCGTACTGACGCCAAGTCAACTGCAATCAAAAACCCAGCCAGCTGGTGGGGGTAGAAAAGAGGATCATACCATCTTCAGCTCAATTCGGCAGGCCTGAGGGAAATATCATATCCACCAATCTGTGAACAGGATACATGATAGTAAAATATTAAAAAGTTTGACCAAGCCAAGAACCCAACATCCAGATGATGAAAATAATAATGATGTCCATGTATTGTTAAATATCCCACTCAAAACCACCTCCAATGCAGTAACATCCTTAGTATATGAAAATCTTCAAGGGATAGTACAAGAGGAAGAACTGTAGTAACCTGCATGATCATTCACTATGACCCACAACACGGTAGCAGTGAACATGACTGCAACTGAGTGAGGGAACAGAGACACCTGTAAGGACTTGTGTTGATTGGTCCAGCTCTGAATACAAAACCCAGCCACTGGGAACTGACATCCATGTGGGGGGTAGTATGAGGGATCCCAATCAAAGGGGTGAACTGCAACTTTGATGGCTCACTCTGAGTGATGGCTCACCCGCTCTGAGATGGAGCATCAGATTGGAGGAAATCTCGTCATCTATGCCAGCGGAACCCCACCACCCTACTCTCAATTGAATGGATTCCTTATTGTTTGTATCGTATATTACTATCACATTCAGGAGGATGCCTCCATGGTCCACCACTCCAGCAGCTTAGAAGTGGAAAGTAGTAAGGACTCCTGTACTCCACTAGAAGAAAAAAGAGGGGAGAAAATGTGGTGGAGAGTCTGGAGAAACATCGACACTGGAGACAGAGCAATGGGAGACCACAAAAACCCTATTTTGAAAAGCAGACCACTCCTAATTTATTCAATCTGAGGAATGGCAGGGATGGGCAGCCATCCCCTTCTGCTTTAATGGATTAATGCATGGATTAATACAATCTGGAATGGGCATATGGATGAAGCAAATATATCACGAGGAAACCCTACAAGCAATCTCAACATTGTGCATTTAGTGGCCATGGAAATTTTAATTGTTAAGTCATCTTGACCTTACAGTGCAACTTTTACTATTTTAAGTATACCTGGATAGGCAACACTTGTCAAAAAGTGGGATCTGAAAAGAAATAAAGGAACATGACCCTGAAAAATAAGAGGTATATATACACACAAAAAAGGTAACTTATACAGTCACAGTCTGATCAAAGAGTGAAGGATGTGGACAGGTGGAAGATGGTAACCTGACAAGGAAGAAACAGCTACCCAAAGCAGATAATGGGAAATAAACATACGAGGTGTAATCTCGGTGCTCAATAGAAGTACCTCAGCAGGGGTGAGATGCAGATGAAAGTGAAGGTGCCTAATTGGAGTAAAGACACCAGGAATTGATTACGAGAAAAAGGAGACAAGGAAGAAAAAGCCAATCATATCAAAAACTGAATTGAAAGGGTAAGGGAGAAAGGAAAAAATTCACAAACAGAGGAGTGGTGCCAGAGAAGGAAACAGCAAAAAGGGGAACCAATGGAAAGAAGCTTTGAAGGCAATGATACAACCCATAATATGTATGGGACATAGAAGGCTATCCAGATCCAGTTGGGAATAAAGGAGGGAGATGGAAGGAAACAAAAATGAAGAAAAGTACGAACATGCCGCACAAGCTGCCAAAATGGAGGATAGGAAAAAAAATCGATCTAGAACAAAAAGAACAGATCGAATTGGAACAGCTGAGAAAACCAGATCTATGTTGGCCAGAAAGGAGCAATCAAAAAAGACCCAACACAGAGTGGCAAGGACAAACAAAATCACCCTAAGAAGATGAAAATGGGATGAGAAATAAAGGTATAAACAGGTGCCAATCCTGTCTGAATGAATAGAAAGCTAAAGAAAATGGATGAGGAACCAGAAACAAAAACTACAGATCCGAATCAAGCTTGAAGGGCAAGACACGAAACTGGTACCACACTCCGCATTGAGCAAACCTAAGACAGTGCCATGAGATATGAAAAATAGAATATGGGCATAAGAATATAAAATGTCGACCTTGGGCATCCTCAGTAATAGAAAAATGGCCCACCAGAGTATGATAAAATACAACTTGGTAAAAAAGAGAAAGAACCAAGAAGTTATAGAGGCAGAACAGATTGATTACAGAACTCCAATCTGCATCAAGAATACACGACTAATGGAAGAACTCTTAGATGTAGGACAAGTAAATGACAAGAAGGTGCCAGACATGGAACATGAATAAAGAATGCAATGGTTAAAGAGACAGTTGAGCAATGAAAAGAGAAGAAATCAAATGTAGCAATACAGATACCCCACATGATGCTAAAGTCAGAGGAGTAACCCCCCCCCCCCAAAAAAAAACAGATCAGTGGAGAAAAAAAGAGCTGTCCATAAGTCCCGATTAGAAGTGTAAGGGAAACGAACTTGGTACAAGATAACATCCCACTCCAGGAAGATCCCAAAAGCAAGAAAGCCACGTGTGTAGGGAAAGAGCCAAAGGTGGCAACTGCCCCAAAAGGAGGAGGAAGGTATCCCACGAAAATCCCCAAGAAATAGTTAGAGTGCCTCGGAAAGGTGGTGTATGAAAATTAATACCGGTAGGAGAAGTGATAGGAGAAGAAAGATGGAAAACTAGTCTAGGGAGAAAAGGATAGGATTAACATATTATCTAGCCCATGTGCTTTATTATTTTTTAAACTTTCCAATTCTTTCTTAACAAGCTCAGAATTAATGTGATCAGCTTGTTTAACCTTGTTACCATCTAGCAACTGTTCAGGTTGAGGAATATTGCTTAAATCTTCATTAGTAACAATTGAAGAAAATGTAGAATAACCTAGCCATCACACAATCATCAGACATTTGCCTGCCAGTGTCATTCTTCAAAGATAGTTTTACAGAGCATCATCAAAAATAACACGGTGAACAGTCGAAGTTAGAGCAGAGATTTAGGTTTCCACACTATTTGTTGGGTTACCATTGTAATATCAGTTATGCACTGCTCACTTTGGTTCAGGTTTTGTTATTAATTTACAAAAAAGCATAAGCCTACTTAAATTTCAAAATGATTCTCAGTTAACACTCAACTCTATGAAAATACTGAAAATGAAATTCACATATTCTGTATTTTTATATTAATATTGTTATTACACTAATACCAAGAAATATGTTACCATATTTTTAGAAGTTAACTTTGAATTAAATTTTATGAGATAGGCCTAAATTAATTTCTATCCTAACAGTAATATTAACATTACTAGTAGTAGTAAGTATTATTAATTTACTCATAAGATCAATACTGACCTAACAACATAACACCATAATAAGTCGATTTTGATTCTCGATTTTTACACTACAGCTTAAAACTATCACTAATAGTAATATAATTATAAGCATTTAGTAGTAATCCTACTTTTAACAGTCGTTTTTTCTAAATAAGTAAAATTTGAAAACATTACAATTTACAAGGCTTACCATAATTATATTAGAGTCCATTTCGTTTTCTTTCATAAATAACAGTTTTTCTTTCTTTCTCAAATCAAGCTATAGTATTTGGATACTTAATGCCAGGAATTTAAATTTAATGACATCACTAATTTAGTAATTATGATTCTACCAATATGTTCAATATTATAAAGATAAGTAATAAAATTTAAAAAGCAAAGGCTTAAGCACTGATCCCTGGAGCACTCCACCAGTAACACCAAAGAGTTTAGTTTTACGAGACACCAATAATTTTTTTCTTTCTCTCACTCAGAAATGCATCTGCTGGGACGGATTTGAAGTTGAAAAACCAAATGGTCCATTGTTGTCAGCTGTATAATTTTATACTCTTTCTTCTTCAATTTTGGCTGCTACTAAGTGTTAGCAGAAGACATTTTCTAACGCTTAAAAAAGGCGAAAACCTCAAACTCAAACTTTTAACACCTGGGGGAAAAAACAAAAATAAAGCAATACCTGAGCTACTCCGAATATATAAACTTTCATTTTAGTCTACAAAAGTTTTGAAATCTCTAGTATATCCTTACACACACACACACACACATATACATATACACACACGCACATATATATATATACATACATACATACACACACACACATATATATATATATATATGTATTGCTTAGTTAAAAAAAAAGGTATAAAACTTTTCCAACCTACACAAATATGAGTTAACGTGAATACTATCACAGATTTTACTCATTTTTAGGCTTGTTGGTTTCTAATGCTTCACCAACTTTCGACGTTTAAGAAGTTAAAAACCATAACAAATAACTTTCAGTTTCAACGATAAAAACAAAATGACATGGTGATTTAGTCTAGAAATGTAAAGAACATAATAAGTAGCTCATATTCCCCAAACCCCTACAGCAACAGTCTTTCATTTATCACTCACACTTTTCTTATGATTTCGTGATTTATTGCTCCTTGAAAATGTCAAGAAATATAACTACTCTACGATATTACACTTCTATTATTTGCATTTCTGTTAATAAATCGAAATCGATACATTAAAACACAAATCATCTAATACTTAAGCATTTATTTCTTATGATAAGAGAAGAGTCAAATTATGTTTTAATATATATATGCCTTTCTTCACTTCAATGTACATATGATATAATTTTCAATGTTGAATTTTACAGAAAGAGTGTCAACTTGCAAAAGATGTAACCACGCTCTCTGACATCAGATGTTTGTTTATCATTAGGTACAAAGCTATACAATGGGTTATCTACGCTATGTTGCTCCTTCCAAATAGCTCAGGAGAAGGTTTGCGTACTTATTGCGCTAAAAATAGGGTTTCGTTACTGGTGGTTGGCACAGCACAGTTTGCCTATATATGCATTATGTTTTTTGCGCTTAACTACGAACAAAAATCTGTGCTGTACCCACCACAGGTATTGAAACCCGGTTTTTAGCGCTAAAAGCCTTCAGACTCACTGCTCAGGCGGTGAGGGGGAGGGGCGGGCTCTCTGACATCAGAATTATACATATCTGTTCTTCATATGAGTTATTCCTAATCGTATTATACATAATATTACTTTTAACTTAATTCGAACACTTATAACTGGTCCAAAAACAATCTTATTATTACTTAAGTTACTCAAAGGAAAACTCATAACGGAATTTAAGAAAATGTTAATTAAAACATATTCATGGTTGTATTTGAGAAGAAGAAGAAAATGTTTCTTTAAACATCTGCAGTCTCCCAGTGGATCAGAGGTAAATTTAGAGACTTACAACGCTAAAATACCTAAAATACGCCATTTTATTTTTCATTTAATTTTTTTCTTTTTTTTTTGGAAAGACAAGATAATGCTTTTTGTGCTTGAATTCTAAGTTTTTAAGTTCAAATCTTGTCTTGGTGTAGCTTTCTCTTTGTATAATACATTATTATAAACAGTAATATTTCTTTAATTGTTCAACTGACCTATCTGGTATCTCACGTAATTGAACTATATGCATTATGCCAGATTCCAGGACCATATGGCATAATATGCGAAAATTGGTTGAATCAACTGTAACTGTTTACCAGAACCTAGTACAATACACTAAACGCTGTTTAGACCAGTGGATAAGAAAGAGTTCAGACAAGAAGAAGCAATTTAGACATCCTCATGGCTTTTATTGGCAAAGTCAAAGCAGCACGCTGGATGACAGCAATTGAGAGTACCAGCATTAAATGCCAAAAAATATGCCACTGTTACGTCTCTGTTCGTTTGTTAATTTCCTGTATAATTTCTTTCCGATGAAACTTTAGCGATACAAGTCCTTTCTTAAATAAAACTAGTTTATTTTTTCTCAGTACAACTTTGCAATACACTTAACTTCCACAGTTACTTTTACTTAACCACATGCTATAATTCACAACGATTCACGCACTTTACTTACGGTCACTACCGCACTTGACTCAATTGTCCGTCTCTATCTCTGCCTGTCTGAAATTCTCTATGCCGTCACTTCCTGCCGGTCTTATATATACAAAATAGAGGGCGTCTGGCAAACACTCGAGCCTTCAGGAACCTTCGAGATACTAATTACGTGTTACCAGCGTCACGTGACTTCCGCTGTCGTAACACCACGCTTGGTGGTAACCCAACCTGTAAACTAGAAATTAAATCTCAATGAAATAAACAAACATCACCTATCCAAGAAGTTAAGAAAACAATTAAGCAGCCCCAACTTTGATCAAAAATAATTGTTGTTTTAGACTCAAATGGAGTAAGTTCACAAGTCACCAGACAGAAGGTACTGCTACACACGTTCCAGGATCACTGAATGCTCCATCTTCAAAAATGTGCAATAACATGGTATTCTTAGATGGGAAGAAAAATAAGAAAATCCTTAACAAAGCACTATTAACATTGAGATAGTATACATTGACGTGGTAAATGCAAAAAGTCTTGAACCTAAAGTAGAAAGAGAGAAGTAGCTGTTGGTAACTAGGAGTTATCCTTAGACGTCTTGTAATTGTACTTGGTGAAATAGCTGA